GTCTTACATATTCAGATCAGAGAGAGAGGAGAGGAGACAGTGAGTGCCCCCTCGTTCATTCTCACCCAAAGTAACCTCCCAACTCATACCTGTGAACATACACTACAAAACATTTTTAAAAAGGTACATCTATTGCATGGAGTGTACATGTACAAGTATATGTACAGATATAAATGAATTGTATAGTAGACTATGTACATGATAACAGAATAATGATAGTGGAGTGGGTGCCCATTTCTGAGACATGATGATCTCTCTATGACCCAATGACCAGCTTACCCAATCCTTCATAAAGAGCAGATCAAAGATGACAAATCCTCCATGAAATCTTGAGAGAAGAGAGGAACAACAAAAATGAGGGAAGAAAAGAAAGAAGGAGAGAGAGAGATACAAGATACAGTGGTAAGTTTCTCAGCAGTGACAGTAACCAATCACTACATTAATATATTAACAGCATCACACAATCATTATGAATGAAAGGTCAGAGTGTACCCCATTACATCATCTCATTACATTATGTCCAATAAACACACACAATTTCCACACACACACTTAACATACCACACATTAAATCATACCCTCATGGACTCTCAATAACAAAATTACATGTTCCTATTAAAACCTTTGGCCAATAAAAAAGCTCTTATCAGGAGGTACATGTAGCTCTTTTCAAGCAATAAAGTGAACTTTGGATTTGAATTGAATAATGCTAGCCACTACTGCTAATGGGTGGCTAGGATCAAGTTTAACCAGATACACTACAGTGTGGCTAATAATAAATAGGACCCACTAAGTGTTAATGTGTATCATCCTTACATATCAGACAGTAAGCACATGATCACCACATGCTGTCATGCACAGATTGACTCAGCAGCAAAATTGTATACTATATCCCAGTTCAGTTTGGGACGGAAGTGGAAGCAGCTGCGTGAAATTTGAAAAATGTAGTTATGTCACAAATGACATATTTTAATTATATTCATAGATTAAAAGAAGAATTATCAGTTTGCACGCTAGACCACATGTTCTTATGCAAACTATGACATAGATAAATTGTCATAAAACGTCATTTTGGTATGCCATTGGGTTTATAGGGAGAACCTGGTTCTCAGGTTTCCCAAGGGCTGAGGGACCCAAAATTTCCCAGATTTTGATGGACTTTGGCGACTAAGAACCTGTAAAAGTTTCATCTTTATCCCACATTCCTATAGAAAGTTATTCCAGTTTTTCTTGTCCCAAATTTAACTGGGGTATATATTATAGTATTATACATAATAAAATCAATTATTACAAGCACATGAATATTGTGAATTAGATACTAAACACACACACACACTCATTAATGGTATACCTTCTTGTTAAGTAGATACTTGTAAATGTGTCTACAGAAAGGAAGAGACATCATCTCTGAATGTAACAATGCCAAACCAATAACCCTGAGAGAGAGGGAGAGGGAGGGAATAAAAAAGAGAGAGGGATGATGTTAATAAAGTGCTACAAAGGAGAGAAGTGAACGTGTACAGTACAAGAGAGAGAGAAAGCAAAGAAGGAGAAACAGGTACATGTACATTCACTTGCCTCCCTATATTTCTTGGGAGTTACTCTACAATATGTTTTGGCATTGCTTTATAGTAGGGAGTGTGGCATTGTAGACATTCACAAAATATAAATAATTTTAAAAATATGAAAACTAATAATAATCTGATTCTGTGGAAATAATAACAACAATTTTTATTAATTTATTTATAATGATTATACATTAACAGTGATTCATCTCTCTCTCGCAAACTATACTTTTCTGAGAAACATTTTTTGAGTTATGAGCTATTTTAAAAACAGCTAATTTTCAAAAAATACCCAAAGCTATAGTCATAATATTTTCCAAAACATGGCCCTGACATCAGTCAAATCACCCATATCTTTACGTTTTCAGATAGAGATTGATGTACTAAGGCTATGTAACAAGTTTGAACTGATCCTGACAATGTTGTTCATGCAACAACTATTGTTAGAAATGGCAATTTTTCAAAAATACACAAGGCTATAGTCTATGGTTTGTTTCAAACTAAGGTTCAAAAATCAACCAAAATTTCATGAAATTTTCTGATACAATATTGGTGTCCTTATGCCGTGTAGAAAGTTTGAGCTGATTCCAAAAATATTATTTTTAGAGTTATGAGCATTATTTTAAATGGCCAACTTTTGAAAAATACCCAAGACTATGGTTTTCTGCAAAAAAAGATCCCAAAATTAGCCCAAATTCGCATTACATTATCTGATACATATTGATGTACTTATGTTGTGAAGAAAGTTTCAGGTAATTCTGACAAATTTAAAAAAAGGCTAATTATTTTATCCAAAAATGGCTCCAAAATCACCCTAACTTTTTATTACATTTTCCGATACATATTGATGTACTTGTGCTATGTATAAAGTTTAAGCTGATTTTAGATGATGTTGCGTAGAAAGTTTCCGGCAAGCAATTCTGACAAATATTTTTGCAATTAAGAAAAGGGTTATTATTATCCAAAAAGGCACCAAAATCACCCTAATTTTTATTACATTTTCTAATACAGATTGATGTACTTGAGCTACATGTACATTGTATGTAGAAAGTTTAAGCTGATTGCGGCTTCAATTTTTAAAGTTACTGCCATTTCTCCTAGAAATATTACAATATTTACTATTACTATCACTTACAGAGTAGCTGTAAGACACGGTCTTCCTTCCTCCACAGGTAGCAAAGGGGCGGGGTAAGACTAGTCCACCTACTCAACCTATGAAGAATAGTAAATAAATAAATAATAAAATCACATTAATTAATTGTAACTTATGTGAACCATAAAATTCTGAAAATGAGAAAATCAAACACCAAAGTTGTAAAAATTTATAAAGATCCAATTTTGATCAGAATCAGCTCAAACTCTCAGCACAACATAAAAACATGTACCTGTACATTATGTATCAGAAAATTATAAAAACATAAATTTTCCTCAATTTCATTTTTTGGCAAAATTTGACCCATGACCCCGCAAAGACTTTGACCCCATTTTTGAGCAACTTTAAAAATTCGTAAAAATCTAATTTTGATCAAAATTAGCACAAACTTTCTACACAACATAAGCTTGCGTAGCCAGAACCTACTTCATTTCCATCATTTAAACGGTTAAAGTGCATGTATACATGCATCAGGAAAGGTATGCTGGTATTAAAAGAGAAAATTCATAAATTTACCTTTTTTTCTGATCATGGTCACTCATCAATGTTCCTTCTTTATTAATTTTCTTATCAACCCACGCACAAGTCCTTGCACACGCAGTCCACGTGATTCCACGTGTGTAAAATGGTGTCTAACTCATCGTGTCAAGAAAACTTTATACCCCAACTAGTCATGATGATGACACTACTGTCCCTATTGTGTTTCGGGGCCATCAGCCTCCAGTACACGATATTACCTGTATGACCAGGTACAGAGCTTTGGATTTTGATACTGACTATAGACCCCCTGCAGTAGGCGTGGTCAATGTATGTAGGCGTTTCTTGTCGGCCATGTTGGTGTACATGTTTAAATGCAATGACTGCAATAAATAGAGCTTTTTTACTATGATACCTTTCCTCCCTGGAAAATTATGATGCCAGGTAGCAGACTACCAAGAAAAATCTCCAGTATTAATGGATTGGATCCTAATGAAACCTTGAGAAGTGATTGGCTTAGATGATATTGACTTCAGT